ATTACTTATGAGTTGTTGAACTACAACATTCAATTATAAAATCCTGAACATGTTTATTTCTTATTTTATATTTTGGACAGAGTGAGTTATAAAACACATATGGACTGGCATGATTCGGTCACTAGTGCACGTCTCTGCCCCCCTCAGGCCTGTGAGTGACCAGAAGAGGGTCCTGTATAGGACCCTCTTTTGGTCACTCACAGTCTGTCGGGCCCATAGATGTGCACTAGTGACCTCATTGCCAGTCCATATGTGCATGATGTGTATATAAGCAACATATAACCTGCCAAATTAGTGACTGGTTCTAGGCTGATTTCGGCTCAACACTTAACATTTGCGAAGCGATATTTTCTGCTTAGCAGCTCCATATAAATACTGGGACTAGGTGAGAGGAAGGCCATGCCATTAAACCAAAACAACAATTACACATTTACTTCAATTGGACATTGTCAATGTCCATTAATAGCAAAAAAAAATGACTTTCTCTTTTCTTACTCAGCCTGCTTAAGATAAAATCTGATACTCTATTGCTGTTTAACTGAAAACAGAAGTATCAATATACTATGAGGATGTTTATTTTTTTAAGAATCCTGCCATGTTTCAAAAGTATCAATTGACTTTTTGATTTCATTTTCTATTACAGGCCCTACATGTATAAGAAGATGATGAGTATTGGGTAACACCTTTGTCGCTTTTTCTTTACACAAAACACTTATGTTTAACTTGTGAAATTCTTCTCACAAGTTCTTCGGCAGCACTAAGTATATGGACAGTGCTTATGAAAGGCAAAAGTGTCAGTAAAACAAGAAAAAAAGCTGCTGACTGGCGAGTCTAACAGTCAACTTCCCATGCCCAGACCATCTTCAGACCACCCTTGGATGCAACAACAGCCACATACTTAACAATGACAACAACGAGAGCCACAAGGACAAGCAGTGAATGTCGCACGTCAGAGAAGACAGTATCCGCCCACAAATGCCAGGGTTTCCGGAGATTCCAAATCTCCTGAAGACAAATCACAACAGTTTTTCCAAACGAGGGCAAATTAAACCCAAACAGCTTGACAAATTCAAACCAAACAAGGAAGGCTTTGCCTCCTCTTGGGGTGGAATTTGGGGACTTCAACCGGTAAATCAGCGCACCTGTTGTCACATCGCCTGGCACTGCTGGGCTTGCGTGCAGTCACACACCTACGCACAGTCACACATTTTTTCTTACACTCACACATGTACTTTTTGTTGTTATGAAAAGATACAAGCACACACTTGTGCAACTTGTGCTCCCGAAACATGCCAAATGAAGTGAATTATTTACAAAAATGTAGCAGCTGTACTGGTGAGGCTAAACTGGCAAAATAAAGAGTGCCTTCATTTGAACGCAAGGAGACACAGGCAAGAAATATGTCAATTTCATTACAAGTGGATTTCTGCAAACTGCTTCAACTACATGTGTCTCATCCATTCCGAAGTCAATTTCTTACTCAATGACCACAAACTACTAAATGAGGATCTAAAGTTGGCAAACTTTTTTGCCATGCCTAAATTCTTTGTATTACCATGGAGCTCCGTTTTATAGCTCCATGGTATTACAGTCAACCAAATATCATACACAGCATGTAGTACGCAAAGAGGGCATAATACTCTGTCCCATTTAGGTAACTGTGTTAAAGACATTGTGACAAAAGTAAGTCTCTATACTTTCGTTTTTTCTCTCTTCTGTATGCCACACTATTGTTTTCTCTCGGTATTCTCATTTACAAGGAAGACTTTCAACATACCAAAACCTGATCTTTCTTCTGATGGCCAAATCATGCCCAGAAGTGGTCGTTTCAACTACGGAAACACCTACGGGGGACGTCCAGTTAAAATACTACGGGTAACAATGACTTTAAAAGAGTGGTTGGAGGCTAAACAATCCAACACAGAACTCCTAAGACTGGCCCAAGACTGCAGTATAGTAACTTTGTATTTAATGAATGAAAATTTGGTTCGGGGCTACGGTAAAACTAAGGAGCGGCATGTTGAGCAAAAAATGTGTTGGATAATGCAGGGTTTAACACCCTGCTTAAAGGTTTCATTATGGAGGGGAATGAGCCAGGTATGCCTTTAGTCAAACCGGGAATCTACCCTAAGGTTTTGTTGCTCTTTCCACACAAAAAAAAGCGGGGAAAAAGCTGGCAACTTTCTCTGTATTCTTCTTCGACTTGTAAGGATTATTGTAATGGAACAACAATAACACTCTGTTCACAAATGCAGGCCTCGAGGCAATTGATTTGTTGAATGAAAATGAGAAAGCAAGTAGAGAACTACGTGCACTTTTTCAAAGGGGTAGGGCATGTAGAATTTTCCATGCTTCGTGATTTCACTTTCAGGGAAATCTTGTAAACTGCATTGCCACAATTCTTGGATAGTTTAATCTTTTTTTGAGTTGACAAAAAAATAAATGCACAAAAGCCAATGGAGTTCACGCATGAACATAATGTTCACAGGAAAAGGTAAATCTAAATCTGAAATGTCTCGACGCGTGTTCCAAATTGCTGAATGTGAATGGAACTTGAGTGATGAACCAATTGATGATTAAGAATGTAAAAGGAACTGGGTCTGCAAGTACAATATACGGAACTGCTGAGAAGTAAATTTTGCTTAACAAATTTAATCAACAAGCAAATATTGTTGCTCCTTTGAGCAAATATTTACAATGTACTACTGCTATACAATCTATCATTTTTTAAGTTCTTTACCGTATCACTTCATGTAGCTCACATACAATCTTCATTACAAGATACATTAGGCCCCAAAAACCCAATAGTTCTGCTTCCGATTACATGTCATTTGAAAATAGGGTAGGTAGGAGTTGTTTTTTTTTTGGTGCGATTATATGGAGGTGTCGTTTCGGTTTGCGGTAACACCATGTGGTAATAACTACTGCTTAGAAGATATTTAGTTCTGAAAAGAACTTGTCCAGCTTATTATCAACTTTCGTTAAGTAGTTTTTGTTCTGATAAGAACAATCCTGCTTTCTTTGGTCTCAACGTTTCGACTAGCCTGCTCTAGTCATCGTCAGGAGACGGACGATGACTATATGGAGGTGTCTGCATGTAAATTTTTCCCAAAAACAGATTAGGGTAGGGGTTGTCAAAATAAGGTAGGTAGGGTAACCGGATGCAGAACTTTTTTTGGGGGGGGGGCCTTATTATCCACCAAATTTATAAATCCAATGTTGGAAAACAATAGAAAAAAATAAAATATTGTAAATCTAAACCAAAATTTGAAGTCTTCAAAGTTTGGAGAAGACTTTGTGGTCTATGATTCCTCAAGAAGAAAAAGATCCCCAGATGAGACAACATTACTGTACATATGGCAGAGAAATGTTGTATAAAACCAACCTGTACAATTGATTTATTGACGACATTCAAAGAGGAGGGACTCCATTTGAGGGAAAATTACTCGTACCATTGACAGATTTTGATGAATATTGGATTTTTGAAATGGGTTCTGCACAGAAATTCAAAAATATGATTGATGCCTGATCTGCTTGACAGCTACTCCATCATGAGTCATTATCAAGTCAATGGCTGGACGACTTTATACCACAAAAAAAAAGAGTCTATGGCCTTGATCAAGCGACTGCTGACTCAGTTGAACTGAGCGTAATTCAGCCTGGCCAATCAGGCTGGTACAAGCCGAGACCAGAACCAAAAAAGCCTTACACCACTGGAAAGACGTCATCTAGTCAGCTAGTTTTTGTCATAAAGCCACTCAAGGATAATTGTGTGAAGGAACAAGTTTGCGGGGCCAGTGATGCAAAGCGCTGGCCAATTGTGACTGCTGAACATGAAAGGAGGCCGCCTCCAAACAAGCATGCGGGGTACCGAGTGGGCCTCGGGGGACCAGGAAAACAAACAGTGTTTACCTAACACAATCAAAGGGCTACACAAGCAATGAACAAGGGGCTGCAGACTGCTGGTGCCAGGCTTGTGCTGAAGTTGACTGGGTGGTTTACGGTACCGGATTTTCTCTGCTTACAGTTGGCTTCGTAATTTGACAGTTTGAGAGTTCCGCTTTCCCCGACTTTTTTGTTTTGTTTCCAAGTGATATACTTTTGAGGTGACAACTGACTGGACTGCCAATTGTGCCAAAGGCGGGACTTGTTAAGTTCCAAGCTGTCACATGACAAAAAAGCGGACAGGCTGCCCAATAACCAATCATATCATTAATTACATCCGAATGACCGGGGCCCACCTTCAGGCACACCATCATTTCCAGTTCTTAGACTGGGCAGCAGCTTAAAGGTTTCCCCAACAGAGTAACAGCCTGGGCACTTAACAACTTCTCCAAAGAAATACCTCTGACAGCAAGTCCTGTCAAAAAGTTTAAAAGAAGCCTCTGTACAGTGCTGTTGGTCCAACCATCAAGACCTTTCATTCAGGCCTGACAGGCAACCTGCCTTGGACCATTGGACACAACAAGGATTTCATTTCGTACGTTCCCACCCGACCATAACTGGTTCCGGGTACTAATTTTTGACTGATTCCTTGACAGAAACCTTTGAAATCAGGACAACGATAGCCATGACCTAGAGTGATTATAAACAAAATCCCTTGATCCTGAATTGATGCATCATTGAGTCAAACCCCTCATTAGGCAAGGACGTTTGGCGACATTCAAAAAAGGATTGGAGGTTCTCACGATCTGGATTAGGATTTCATTTTTCATTTTTTCAGGTTTCTTGTGACTTCACACATTCTGAGAAAACCTTGTTTTCAGAACCAGTTCATACAAATCCTTTTGGGTACATGGGAGCATGTTGCAGGATGACAAGGACGGGGATTTACTTTTGAATTGTGTATTTGCATAAAAAAAAGTAAACTTTTCATTACTTTGGCCAGTTTTAATTTAGGCTCCCAGCCAGTGTTGAACTCACTTTGCACTGTCTTTGGGTGCAATTGCTATGTACAAATCTTTATCATAGCGCCAGTAATTATTCCAGCATCAAGTGTAAATATGTTTGTAAAGAATCACAAGCAATACATGTACTTACCTACAAAGTACTCTTCAACTTTACTGACAGCCATGATCTGAAAGAAAGACCACAAAAAAAGTGAAACAAGTTATGTACAGGGGCATCACACAAGATTCACTTTGAGCAGATCAAAAGGGCCTTTTACACTATCCAAAATCTCCGTATTGGATCCGGGTCAAGCACAAGATATCAGGAACCATGATTATGAAGTTAGTTTCACATTAATTAGCCAGAATCAGTGTTGTACTTGTCCTCGGTACTTGCACTCGAGTACTACTCGGGTATGTATTTTTAGAGTACTCGGACTCGTACTCGACATGATGGTACTCGTACTCGGGCAGCAAAGTACTCGTACTCGACATGCCAAAATTGTACTTGATCATCAAGGTACTCGTACTCGAATAGCCGTACTCAATAAAGAAAAAAAAACCTGTATAGCTTGACAAAAAAACGGCCTTATTTTATTGATACTTTCAGTTTGAAAAGGTTGATTGGTGAAGAAATCGAAGACTCCTGACTTTCCTCTGCACACGTCCGTACAAACACAATTTACAGCTAGCCGTGAGTGGGTATGTATCAGTCTGACTGGGCCTGGACCATACGCACAATGACCCATTTGCTGTATGTGGGCAAAATGGCCAATCATATTATACGTGAAACGCCAAGGTGTTCCTCAAAATGATCGTTCGACTAACTTGGGTGATTGGAGCAAGGCCGTTTTCCAAACCCCTCGTTTGTATAAAGTACTCGCACTCATACTCATACTCGGAAGTACAAGTACTCGTACTGGTACTCGTACTCGAAAGTGCAAGTACTCGTACTCGGAGACCTGTACTTGTACTCGGAAGTACAAGTACTCGCACTCGTATTTGGAAAACTAAGTAGTCCAGTACAACACTGGCAAGAATCCAAATGGATGTTAAGGTCCGGCATTCTACAAGGGTAAAATCCCTGGTTATAAATTTTGTTGGGACCAGGGTTGAGAGGTTCTACCCAGGTGAAAAAATCCAAAATGTACAGCCAACCCTGGTACATTGTGTACACACCATTAAAAGTGTGACTTGTATGCCTTGCCTACCCATGTTCAATGGGACCTTTTTTATTTCATCACAGGCAGGCAATATGTACGGTAGTGTGAAGAAGCTTAAAGAAATTGAACGGACAGCCCATTTTAGTAGAGACACTGACAAATTAATTGAGTGTCAAACCACATGAAGCTACTAGCTATTGATTGGTTCAGCTTGCTTTCACACTCGTCTCATTAAATAGTTGGCTTGTATTCAATGCAGTATAGCAACATACTCACAAGCTACAATGCTTAATACAAATGGGTAAGAAGCCAGAATAGTATAAAGAAGTCCTGGGTCTTGAGTCCAAGTCAAGAATTTCTTTTGCATTCATATATATAATCTGGCATTGATATGACTCCGCGCACAAAAGTACCCCCTAAAGATTTACAAACGGAGAGTTGGTAGAGATCACGGGAGAGACTTTCCACATGTTGCCGATGGTGCGCCTGCACTCACGTAAAGACGCTACAAGTTTGTGCACATTCAGAATAAAAAAAGTTGTGCGCACTTCGCATCACACGCGCGCGCAAACTAGTGTGTCCCTCCCACTTTCGAAAGTGGTCATAAAGTGCCATCTATTGTTCTTGCACGAAGTTCATACTGTTGTGAAGTTTAAGACTTTAAGACACAAATAACCAATGAGGCCGAACGCATTAAAGTTAAAGGTCATTCAGACATCCAAGTGACCCCGTAAGCCTCTGGTTTTCTCCAATTCAAAGCACACATTTCTGACTATTTAGCAGTGATCAGGCTGAATCGTGGGAAAACCCGCAGTTCAATGCCAGTAGTCTGATGCGTAAGCAGTAAGCTCAGATAGCTTTGTCACCAAATCAGCTTCCCATGACATTATATTGTCATCAGATTTTGTTTTCTCTCTGTACAAAAATTGAAGGATAGTTATTGTTATTTAGGTTTCTCTTTTTAATGACTCACAAAAACAAGCTCATGTATGTTCATGTATGAGTCATGTGATTGTGCTATGTAACTTCCTGAAGGAGTAGTGTTTTGAGTAAAAATAAATCAGGTTTTTGTCCCCAGTGACCCCATGATGACCTTTAACCCCAGATTGGTCATGTGACATGTCGAGGCTGGGCTACTGATACTTTTGGCAAAGTCTGGTTGAAATCGGTCAAAATATGTAGGAGCAATAGACAATGTCAACGTTTGTTACTAACTAACGAAGAGACATGATGATTTCTTGAGCTGCTATCCCGCAGCTAAAAATCGACAATCATTGACTGGATCTAAGAAAAGAAGGTTGTGTTTAATTTATCTGTCATCAGAATAGTGAATGACTGTTTCCAGGAAATGCAAGGATGATTTACATGAAATACATTTCCACAGATTCTTTTGGTGATCTAAACTTCTGTTTGAAAGTTGAACACTGATGACGCAACTCAACTGTTGACATAACTTTACAGCAGGATGCAAAGTGACATGCCTGACAGCCCATGGGACAAAAAAAGTACCTTTATCTAACCTGACGTCATCGCTAAATATACCAAGGTCCACGTAATGCAATATTTTATTTGGCGAAACTTTTCAGTCGAGTGCTCCTTCCACCAAAGTTTTTAATTTATCAAAGGTAATTTTTTGAGAACACTTTTTTGTCTTTAATGTCATATCCAAGTTCAAAATGGAACAGTTTTTTTTTAAGAAAGCCAAAAATGTAAGTAATGGCACAAAACTTCTTACCAGTTTTTATGTGCGTGCATTAGCAACCAAATCCAGTTACGAGACCCCAAAAATTTCGACTACATTTGCTCTGTTTTCTCAAAAAGTATAGTATACCCTGAGCTGAAACTTTAACAAGTTAGTTTTATGCACCCTTCTTAAGATTTAGAGCAATTTTGTTGCCTTAAACCAAAAAAGATATATGGCACATGTTCCCTTGTGTACCATTAAAGTAAGATTCAATGTCAATGTTCAGAAATTTGGCACCAACTGAAAAAGAAAAAAAATGTTGGGCCATAAAGGTTAATCCTTATAACCAAACCTCAGAGACTCCAGTAACAAATCTGACAGAGTATTGAAATGTTCACATATTTATGCTTGATTGTTCACAAATATACAAAATTTCCTGAGCTGCATTGAAAATTGCCAGTTGCACACTGAAATCTTGGCATTCATTGAAAAGAAATACATCCAACAGGTGCTGAAGGCTACAGACTAGGGACTGTGTGCCCATAACAAGACCAGAATGCCATTGCACTTCTATTTGAACTATGTGGCAAAAGGGCAAATACATGTATCATGCAACCACTGAAGAAAAGGAACTACATGAACATTTCTTAGAAGACAAGGGAGGGGCTGTATAGGGGACGGTAAAACATCATGAACATCGTCAACAATAAGATGAATTCCAGTAAACTCAATATTGGGTTTTGCCCTTCACTGAAGTATTTTTTTATGAAGTTGAATTCCAGTAACTTAATGTTTTGTTCCACACTTCCCCATACTCTTCAATAAATTGAAAATATTTTTCTCTTAATAAGTTTCAACTTGAATGTTTCATTCCACCCAAAAATAAATCCTTGTTATTTTTCTTTTTTGGGGGACGGTACAACATGGTCCACAGTAAGATGAATTCCAGTAAATTGAATAATGGGTTTTGCCCTTCACCGATGTATTTTTTTTATGATGAATAGTTGAATTCCAGTAACTTAATGTTTTGTTCACCACTTCCTGTACTCTTCAATACATTTTAAATAGTTTTCTTTTAATAAGTTTAAACTTGAATGTTTCATTCCAACCAAACATAAATCCACGGTTTTTTATCTTATTTGGACTTCTCTTTTTTGAAAGCCTCTGAAAAAAAAAGTGTTTTAATTTGGGCACAAACAGATCCGCTTGTGAGCAGACTGGCTCTTCTTTATTGATACTGATTGTCATGATTGTGGGGCGGGAACCAGCCTATCCTGAGAGAATGGAGTTATTGCCGGGCCACAAGTAGTTCGAAATTTGTATTAACAGTTATAATTCTCTAATAAACTGAACATGCGCCAATTGTTTGCAGTTGATGTCTCATTCAAAAATGAATAACTTTTATATTGCTAGAAAAAAAAGCAATTTTATCTTGAACTTTATATCTGGATTTATCTTGAAAATAGCACGGGGAATGCAACTTTAAATGGCTTCGGTAACTTCAGTTCTTAAGGTTCCAACGATTAATCAATAACACTAGTATAGCAAAAGGAACAAAAATACAAAGACTTATTTTTCTGAATACAGCGATTATAAAACAGACCCCCCAAGTTAAAATTCTTCACTTTGGCAAGGATATTGATTGAAATATTACACTCAAGAGGCACCAGACTAATTGTGGTTTCTTAATGATTCGTTTAAATGTCAGCCAGTTCAGGTGTCACAAACCTTTCCTAATTAGCCACGGTCCGGGAGGGAGTTTGGTTTTGTTCGGGTATCCCTCCAAGGGGTAATGGGCCGACCCTCCTAAAAGAAGTGCGTCGATAGTATGAATGGGGAGGGTAAGCTTGTTGCTGTTTATTAAAGGAGGAGTGGATGGTTTCAGCCAGGTAACTTTCTGGTTATTTGTTGCTCAAAAGAATGGATGTATTTTCTACTGTTGGTGATGCAGAAATTAAGTTCACATATACATTACAGAATGACTACTCTTTGACATAATGAAAATGAGTGAGGCAGGACGGCTTAAGTAAATTGCTACTTCTGAACTGCATATTTTTGATAATAATTCTGCTATAAATAATATTAAAGATGTTTTCTGTTTTCTATTTATGGATAAGGAAAGATCATTAGTCTGGCTGGTATTTAAAAATGACTTAACAATATTTCAAGTTCAAGATGACCTTATTTTGAATAATGCGATTATAAAACAGACCCCCCAGTTAAAATTCTTCACTTCAGCAAGGATATCAATAAGCCATTTGCGTGTAACCTATACCCTTTGGGATTTACATTTGAAAAACGTCTGGTACAATGACTTGCTCAGAATGCTTGGCACATTTTA